AATTAAAGAAATGTTGTAAAGAACCCTTAACATTGGAAATTAAAACAAGCTTAAAATAGAAAACTGACGGTGCAGTGTATGAAAATGTAACACTTATGATATAGGTGTAAACATTTCTTATACTATTTGGATGAACCAACCATTCATAAAAATGTTTTCCTTGTATTGGTTTTATTTGTTTTATGTCCCATATATTCATGTTGCATTGTTGGAGGAGCCAGGGACTTAAGTTCTTCATTGTCATATCTACACTATAGCTTCTGTGCATATGACAATAAAGCGTTGAATCTTTAAAACCTTGTCCTTGTGACTGCAGGCATGACGTGCCAGGCGAGGAGTTCCTACGTCAGCAGTGAGATCAAGTGGGGCTACCGCTTCATGCCAGTCCTGACGCTGGAGGACGGCTTCTACGAGGTGGACTACAACAGCTTCCACGACATCTACGAGACCAACACGCCCAGCTGCAGCGCCAAAGAGCTCTTTGGCGCTCGCAGCCGCCTCCCCTTCACCTGGTCGCTGGGCAGCAAGCTGAGCCAGCAGGGGCTTCAGATGTCAGAGCAGGAGACCAAGAAGAGCCCGGAGTACCAGGGGAAGATCCTGCAGCCGGAGAGGAACGGAGACATTGCCAACGTAGAGAACGAGTCCAAAGTGTGAGAGAAGTTGGATGAGATCATCGTGTGTCCCTCCGGGATGAGCTTGCAGAGGTTGAGAACGAGGACCAATGAGCACAGCAGACCAAGTGATCCCTGCATCATCAACTACTTTTTTCTCAGTGATTTCACAGTTAAAACCCCAAAAGCAACATCTAGACATGTGGACTGAAAACCCTCTGGGACAGTGCATGATTCAGATATAATGTGATGTCCTCCTGATGAGATTCCTCTTATTTTTTCTATTAAGATATTCCTAGGGGCATTTGCTTAAGTATTTTTGTATATACTATAAAACTGTTTTGAATTATTTGTGGCGGTGTTAATACTTGACAGATGTTTGATACTAAATCTTCTAGGTTAGTTCTGTATATTCTCTGTATTATAAAACGTTCATTATTTGTTTTGTTTTTAGATATATATTAGCATGTATGAGCATTATCCGCAGTTAATTTATCTTGTATTGTGTAAACTGTAATATTATAAGGGACACGTACATTTCAATGGATGCAAACACTAGTTTAAACCAATCTCAAATACTTACTCTCATGATAAATGTTTAAGTTAGTTCTGCTAAATACTTTCCTTTAGAAGCCATGACTTGCTGTTTGCAGCTGCGTCTTCAGACAATGGCCCTTTAAAACTGCATCTCGTCACTTTTGCACATTGGAGGCGTCTGATGGAGAAAGTTAGTGGCTGTCATTCTCCAGAAACCCCCCACCTGTCACCTAACAGTATCAAAAGTAAATAAACAATAAATTGCAAAATATGCATTTGATGAGACTCTTTTTGTCGTGGTTTTTGCATCGTATGTTTATCAGCAGTGGATGAAGTACTGAGATGCTTCATTTGGGTAAAGGTCTTGCATTGAAACGTAGTAAAATAAGTATAACTAGTCAAATGTAGCTAAAGAAATAATCTACCCCAGAAAATAATAATAATGACTATCAATTATTTATCAAGTTCTTGAAAAACAATGTTTTCCACAAAAAGGAGTAAAAACTTGATGAATTGAAGACAATCTCTACTGTGTTTGACACGAGCAAATCTATACTAAAACATGTTTACAGTGTAGTATGAGTACAAATACTAATGATCTTTGCAGTCAGCTAAATCAATTTCACTGTCTTCTTTATTTCACTCAAATGAAAAGCGAACTTAATATAATTTACATAATATTACAACAGTTAGCAAGCATCCTCCACCATTAGTACATTTACTCCTCATTTGCAGTTTACAGTAGAGTTCCACACAGCTTGTTTTAATACCCGTTTCTAGAACCGAAAAAACCCAGCACAATATCTGTCATCAAACACTTAAATGACATGTTTTTGTTTTATAAATATCAAATGCACACTTAGATTTAAGCACTCAGGTTCAAGTCAAAGTTAGTTTATTAAATCTCGTAAATTCTATCTGGCCAAAATAAAGTCTTTCAAATAAGTCCATCCATCCATCTTCTCCCGCTTATCCGTGGTCGAGTCGCGGGGGTAGCAGTTCCAGCAGAGAGCCCCAAACTTTCCTTTCCCCTCATCAACCAGCTCTGACTGGGGGATCCCAAGGCGCTCCCAGGCCAGTGAAGAGATATAATCCCTCCACCTGGTCCTAGGTCTACCCCTCGGTCTCTTCCCAGCTGGACGTGCCTGGAACACCTCCCTAGGGAGGCGCCCAGGTGGCATCCTTAGGTGCCCGAACTACCTCAACTGGCTCCTTTCGACGCGAAGGAGGAGCAGTTCAACTCCGAGTCCCTCCCGGATGACCGAACTTCTCACCTTATCCCTAAGGGAGACGCCAGCCACCCTGCGGAGAAAACCCATCTCGGCCGCTTGTATCCGCGATCTCGTTCTTTCGGTCATGACCCATCCTTCATGACCATAGGTGAGGGTAGGAACGAAAATGGCCCAGTAGACAGTTCATACATGATTTTCTTTAAAAAATCAATCTAATATTTGATGTTAAAGACCTAATAAAGTCATAAGAATAAACACAATCATTTTAGTTGGCTAACATCATGTTAGTATGAAACCACAGAATGCCAAACGGTGCCCTAGTGAGAAAATATGGTAATTTACGTTATTAAAATATTAAACAGTCAATTAATTAAATGATCTTCAAGCAAGAAAACAATAAGAGCAGTGGAGTTTCAACAGTCTGTTTTTACACCAAATATCATCACAGAAAGACCAAATAAATCAATGTTTAAAAAACATTAGAGTTTCTTTCATTTAACATCTTCCGGCGCAGACTGAAAACTCATCTCTTTCGACTCCACTTCGAGAAATATAATTACTAACAAAGCACTTATATACTAACAAAGGACTTATATACTAATAAAGGACTAGCTTATCCAAAGCCAGTTGAGTAGCACTTGAAATGTTTTGACTCTATGAAGCCTGATGTACTTATATGATTCTGTTTTCTTCAAGTTTGTGTCTTCTTGGTCGAATGCTCTTATTGTAAGTCGCTTTGGATAAAAGCGTCAGCTAAATGTAATGTAATGTAACATGCTTTTTACATTGTTTCGTTATAACAGTGAGACAACACAGTAAGTCCTGACAGCAAAATGTTAAAACATTTATGAAACAAACAAATAAACTGAAGGGCCTCTTGAGTTACAGCTGGATTTCATCAGATTATATTACACATCATATTAAATAAAGCAAGACATGTGATCATGTTAGGATATTACAACTCCAATAAAAATGAATTGGATAAAAATAAGAGAGAAAATATGTGTGTGGGGAAGAAAGGAAAACAGAAAAACAAACAAATTATAAGAAAAAAGAAATAAAAGAAAAAATGAATAAGATAATGAGAAAAATAAAAGGGGAAAAAAAGAGCAAAAAATAATAAAATAAAGGAAATAAAAATAAATAAGAGTTGAAAACCAACTGGCCTAAAACAGAAACACATCACTAAAATACAGAAGTTTATACTAGCTTTGTTTTTACTGTGCACATTCACTACATACTGTGATTAGTTAAACAGAGACACTTAGTGATGAAGGAGCAGCAGTGTTAGCTAAGGGACTTTAAAGACATCTGTGCAATACGTTTTCAGTTTAATGCTTTTACATTTTGTTCCCAGGATTGCACATGTTTTCCTTTTTAAAGCGTCCCTGAAGGCAGAAAAGAAGCTCTGCACCCTAACAGACAATAACTTGTTCCTCTCTAATACCCGTCTAAAAACCACGCTTAGGAGAAAAGAGGTTTGATCAAAATGGATGCTGAAACACAACCGGTGCTGACAGAAACACTTTTTAATGCCCCTCAGAATAATGTTAAGACCGATCTTCTTCTCCCTGCCTGACCGTCATTCAAAAGGCATTTCACTTTAAATATATATTACCACTTGTTTGAGATACCCTGTCTAACTTTAAGACTTTGATTAAGACATTTTGATATCAATTAAGGACTTATTTTGAGATCAATTAGTTTCGTACCTTTTTTTTAAGACTTCTTAAGGATTCGCAGGAACCCGGTATACTTATACAATATAATGTATAAGTTGAGTATTGTCCTCATTATGTCGATATGCACATTTATCTGATGATGAGTGTAGTGGAGTATCAAGCAGGAGAATACTAAAGAACAGTACAAGTACCTAAACAATTAATTACAGTACTTGAATAAATGTACTTAGATTTAACCACTAAACCACATTTTTAAGCTACAAAAATGTCCTCCTTTTTGGTCTTTCTCCTTCTCCGTCCACTCAAAACTCAGAACCCTGTCGACCACTTGTTTTGATCAATGGCACATATCTCAACATTGAAATAAAGATTTGAGCGTGTTTATTTATCCCCACTGATCGCTGTTATTGCATTAAAATGAACACATTTTGCTGCAGAACTTATAATTCTGGTGATCGGAGCGTTTAAGGTGCAGAAGAAGCTCAGCAGGAGATTAGTATGTATGATATGTTACCTTGAAATTCAAAGAGCAGGAGTACCTTTTATAGAGTGGTGCAGTGATGACGTATTTACCCGGAAGTAAGCTGCTGGTTCCCTCGACAAAAAAGCAACGGGATTTCTCCATAGGATTTTGGAATATTGTAAAAAATAAGGTCTGTGGAAAACTAACCTGTTTGATAAAAGCACGTTTTGTACAGCCGGATAATCTCCACATGTCTACCCTACTTTTATAATTTTCTAATCATAAATCTAACCGCCAGAAGCAAAATGCTAACGTTATGCTATAAAGGAACTACAGCAGGGTCGCACGACTTCAACGTCACGCCAACTTAAGATCGATATTCAAAAATACAGATTCTAAATGGTTCAAGTTGAAGCGTTTGTTCTAACAGTTTGCAGGAGGCAGGTACTTGCTTTCAAGCAGGACAGGGCAAACAAACTTAGAGGAGTGTTTACGTGTTCGGCGTAATGACGTACAACGTCCTCAACAACTTCTGTAGTCCTATTCAGCCACTTGGTAACAACCATCGTTTTTCAGACACGTCAACTCTTCAGAAATCACCAGTGGGGTCACTGCTGATGGATTTAATGTCGTAGAACAAAACGTGATCCGTCTCTTAAATTCGTGTCAACCACAGACCTTATTTCCAGCTATTTTCCCAAAACTAGTTAAAAAAACCCGTTGACTCTGAGACGATGGAACCGGAAGTGAAAATGCTAACTCACTTCCGGGTTTTAGGACTCGTCACTGCACCACTCTATGTGCAACGCTCCCTTCTTAGACTACCCAGCGAACACCTGGGGCGTGAGGGGCGGCGGCAGGTTGTCGTTGTCCACGTCGTCGTTGTCGATGGCGGGAATTTGTCGAGGCGGGACCTCCAGAGGGTATTTCTTCAGGATGCCGGTCACCTCGTGCTGCACGCTCTGGGGCCAGGAGAGCAGCTCGGCCTGCAGGCTCTGAGCCGCCTCCATCAGAGCCTCCTGCCGCGTGCTGAGGCCCGACAGAGCCTCCAGGTTGGTGTTCAGCTGAGCCAGGACAGGGTTGATGGGGTCAGGCGGGGGGGCGGAGGACCAGACCCCATCTGAGGAGCGAGGAGACGCCTGGCCCGACATGTAGCGCTCAAACTCCTCCGGGGAGAGGTTGAGGGACTGAGCGTCCAACTTCTCGATAAAGGCCGCCGCACAGCACTGAGGAACAGGAAGTGAAAGGAGAAACAGCAGGTTTAGTTTAAAGGTCCCCTATTATACAGTTTTTCATCAATATATCACAGGTCTCAGATATATACAAAACATGTCTCTGATTGGCTGAAACACATTGCAGCATCCCATAATCCCCTCTGTTTCAGCCCTGTTTCCAAAGTGCTGATTCTCTGTCAGTTACTTTAGATGAAAATAAGGAGCCCCTCCCCACGCCCCTCTGAGAGAGATTTGGTTAAAAAGAACACAATGGTGCTCTAGGAGGAGATTCCAACCCAGTCTCACAAAAAAAACGTGTAATAACTGCGTTGGTCCACAACGTAGGACGTAGTATTTCTACAAAAACGTCTCTGAAATTGTAGGAGCCCTACGTTTTTTTTCACCATTCATTCCAATGGCTGGCGTCTATGTCACGTGATCTTCAAATTTCTCCCTGCAGAAAAAAAAAACATGACCGAACTTCGTTTTATTCTCGGTGTAAAATGCCTATTTTAAAGTTAGTTTGGCCATTGAAATGCGTTTTGATGTAATTTGATGCGAGAAATATGAGTTGTTATTTCAGATTATGTGTGCAGTGGATGTACATGATCTTTAGTTTGCTAGTTATTACGAAGATTACTTCAGGAAATTGTGTCCATACAACGTTTTCATTGTTACCAAGGTGGTTGCTAGGGACGCTGCTATCGATATTATTTCTGTTATGTTGTGTAACTGTTTAATGGTGTGATCTTTATTGCTACCCCCTTCCCCGTCAATGTATAGTGTTGGTCCACAGCGCAAACGTATTAGTTTAACAAAATCCGCATCTAAAATGGTGGCATATATACGTTATTTTCCCCTGTGCAATTCCAGTCTCACATCTCACAGCACATCGTCATTAACAAATGCCGGAAACAGACCGAAAACATTTTTTTAAAATAAAATAATACTTTATACCGAGTGTGCTTGCTTTTCTCTTTGAAAGTCATCACATAACGGTATTGTAATACACGGTTTGGCTGCATTATTATTACATATCTGCCGTAGTTCTCTATTTATAGAGCCCTGATGAGAAGACTAGACAAACATGAGGAACTGCCGCCAACACTGAAAACGTGACGTGGATCATAAATATATCAGCAATTAAACAAGATCTTACATTTCTTTTCACACAATACGTCTCCTTGCAGTATCAACACTAATTCGGCTGACTTTTATATTTGATCCAATTGGTAGATAGGCTGTATTTACACCATAAAGGTGCACAGCTGATATAAAGGGACACCTAGGGGTTAAAGCATGTTATTGAATTTCATTATTTGTATTATTAGATATTAATAGGATCCCTATAAAGTATATTCATTACTCGTTATTCTCTACTAATAGTTCATTAAAGACTGTATATAATGACTATTTTGCACATCCCTTTCAAGATTTCAAGATTTTCTAAGGTTTATTGACATAATATACACAACTATGGTGTAGTTATGCAATGAATGAAAAACTTGGGTCGCAGGTTCCTCAATAGTGCATTACAAGATATCTATCAATATTTGTGCATACCTCCAGCAATGTTAACTATGTTGAAGCACTTATTTTAACTGATATTATACATAATGTATTATACTCTTATAAGATGTATGTAGATATTTCATCTCCGGCCTTGTCAGGTATTGAACAATCAATAAATAAAGAACACAGAATTGTTAAATATAAAACACAGAATTTGTGTGATTATACTAAATGATTTACAAATAAACACCACTGCATATTTACAACTGTTACACATGCTGATGTAACGCAAATGTTTCCAACTTGGGATCAATAAAGTATATCTTATCTTAAGATGATCGATGGCTACTGCCATATTTGCAAAATGTGCCTCTGAACCTTGACAAGTGCATGTTTCAGGCTTATCAATTAACAACAGGGGTCACAGACATAAGACCAGCTGTTAAATAAAGCTCTTCTGACCTTAGCTGGCATGTGGGTATATATTAATGCTGCCCATTATGGGGACAAGCAATTTTCACCCATTAATAGTTTATTAATGATATGTTTTAAATGTGAGTGTTTCCTATCCCCTAAACCTCCAGGGATGTACACAGTTTAATACTGGCAACTTCTTATTATGGGAAATACGAAAACCACTTTTAAAACTACAACTCCCAGTAGAGACATGCCATAGATAGAGAACATGTTGCGAAACACAATAGCCAGCATGTGTAGTTCTGGGGACGGGGTGGGGGAGGGGGGGACGCGGTGGACCCGTTCAAATCCAGTTTTGGACAGTCTGCCGGGGTTCCATCCCATTTCAAGTGCTGTTCAACGCTCGGCACACTCTCCAATCACAGAGCTTGAGGACTATCACAGGGTTTGTCAAGCGAAGCGGAGAGAATACTTACTTCCGGGTGTAATATTCTCTAAAGCAAATGAGCTGCTCCGACCCTCGGTCCTGACAGACTCCAACTTGTGTTTATTAATCAAACAAATAAATAAACACAAGGATAATAATGTGTTATTGTTGAGTAAATGGAGAATTGCACAGGGGAAAATAACGTATCTATGCCACAATTTTAGATGCGGATTTTGTTAAACTAATATGTTTGCGCTGTGGACCAACACTATACGTTGACGGGGAAGGGGGTAGCAATACATATAACACCATTAAACAGTTACACAACATAACAGAAATAATATCGATAGCAGCGTCCCTAGCAACCACCTTGGTAACAATGAAAACGTTGTATGGACACAATTTCCTGAAGTAATCTTCGTAATAACTAGCAAACTAAAGATCATGTACATCCACTGCACACATAATCTGAAATAACAACTCATATTTCTCGCATCAAATGACATCAAAACGCATTTCAATGGCCAAATTAACTTTAAAATAGGCATTTTACACCGAGAATAAAACGAAGTTCGGCCATGTTTTTTTTTTCTGCAGGGAGAAATGTGAAGATCACGTGATAGACGCCAGCCATTGGAATGAATGGTGAAAAAAAACGTAGGGATCCTACAATTTCAGAGACGTTTTTGTAGAAATACTACGTCCTACGTTGTGGACCAACGCAGTTATTACACGTTTTTTTATGAGACTGGGTTGGAGATTCAGGTGATAAGTTGGGGGGGGGGGGGATTACCTTGGTTGGTGATTGGCTAATGGTTACACAAGACAAAACATCGTTATGACATCATAAAGTGGTCAAAATCTGATCAGCTCATTTTTAGACAGGTTTTTATAGAAATGGATCAGGACAAAAAGAGAGAGAATCTTTGTTCCTGAAACTTTCAGAGTCTCTTTACACAGAGGGGACACATGTTGATGTAGAAGAGACATGAAGAAGAGGGGACACATGGTGATGTAGAAGAGACATGAAGAAGAGGGGACACATGGTGATGTAGAAGAGACATGAAGAAGAGGGGACACATGTTGATGTAGAAGAGACATGAAGAAGAGGGGACACATGTTGATGTAGAAGAGACATGAAGAAGAGGGGACACATGCTGATGTATAGAAGACGTGAAGAAGAGCGGACACATGTTGATGTAGAAGAGACATGAAGAAGAGGGGACACATGTTGATGTAGAAGAGACATGAAGAAGAGGGGGCACATGTTGATGTAGAAGAGACATGAAGAAGAGGGGGCACATGTTGATGTAGAAGAGACATGAAGAAGAGGGGACACATGTTGATGTAGAAGAGACATGAAGAAGAGGGGACACATGTTGATGTAGAAGAGACATGAAGAAGAGGGGACACATGTTGATGTAGAAGAGACATGAAGAAGAGGGACACATGTTGATGTAGAAGAGACATGAAGAAGAGGGGACACATGTTGATGTAGAAGAGACATGAAGAAGAGGGGACACATGTTGATGTAGAAGAGACATGAAGAAGAGGGGACACATGTTGATGTAGAAGAGACATGAAGAAGAGGGGACACATGTTGATGTAGAAGAGACATGAAGAAGAGGGGACACATGTTGATGTAGAAGACACATGAAGAAGAGGGGACACATGTTGATGTAGAAGAGACATGAAGAAGAGGGGACACATGTTGATTTAGAAGAGACATGAAGAAGAGGGGACACATGTTGATGGAGAAGAGACATGAAGAAGAGGGGACACATGTTGATTTAGAAGAGACATGAACACGTAATTTCTGCATAATAGGTGACCTTTAAGAATGTCCCCCACAGAACACAGATATATAAACAGACCAAGTTGGTGAAGTAGTATCCGTCCTCTCCGCTCATCAGCCTGCTGGGGTTGCAGAAGCGAGTGATGTACTGGATGTTGGACTGCAGGCGGGGGGGGTTGGCCTTCAGAACGATGTAGATCAGAGCGGGGAGGAAGTCGTCCGCGGACGCCGGCTCCTTCTTGGTGATCCTGATGGCGCTGAAGATGTGTTTACTGCAGCGCGTGATGCAGCTCAGTTTGTCCCGAGGAACTCTCTTCGAGTCCATCTCAATGACATCTGCAGAAACAAGTATACAAAGTCAGGGGACTGAGAGACAGACATATTATCGGCGACCAGAGATGGCAAAAGTGCACACATCCTTTACTCAAGTAGAAGTACAGATACTCGTGTTTAAAAATACTCTTGTGAAAGTACTGACTAAACTTCTTTACTCAAGTCAAAGTAAAGAGGGCTTTGAAATGTACTTCAGTAAAAAGTACCCATAACTAGCAGCTGTTTTAAAGAGTACCTGACCTCCCTTTATATCAATAGAACAATAATGTCATTGTTAGCTAATGAATGTTTCCATGCTGAACAACGGCAACATGACAACGTTTTCTACAGCTACACATAAGATTAACTGTTTTTATTATTGTGTCTTTGTGTAGTCATCTTTAAGCAACACTTCACTGGTTCCAGCTGCTCGTATGTCAAGGTTTACTGTTTTTTTTCATTATCTATGGTAGTAAACTTAATATGTATGTATTTTATATGTGTTTTGGTTAAAAGTCGTATTTCAAGTCGACTTTGGGCTTATGGCTTCTCTAGTTACTTGTTAGACGCTTTTATCCAAAGCGACTTACATACTCAATACTGTGGGCAATCCCCACAGGAGCAATTTGGGGTGAAGTGTCTCAGGGACACAACGACATGCTGACTGCAGTGGGGTTTGAACCTGTGACCCCCCCTGATCTGAACACCAACGCACAACCCACTGCACCACACACCTCCATAACTTTACGATTCGAGAAAATAAGTAAGAGCCTTAAACCCTGATTGTACTTGCGCAAGACTGGATGTATGAAAAATATCCTTTCACTAAAAAAAATACATTTTTGAACAGAACAATGTAATAAAGTCAGAGGAGGCCATCTTGCCTTGACTTCCAGACCTTTAAATAATATTTAAATAACCTTTAGATAATTAAAATCATCAGACTGCTTTATTTATCCGCGGGGGAAATTAGGTTTTCTTCAAAGTTGCTCAGCTTTAGAATAACATTTAAAAGAGAAAAATAAAGATACATATATACAATAAATATGTTAAAATGTGTATGTTACAATATGTACAGTGGTGTATAAGTAATAATACAGATATTGATGATGAAAACCAGATTAATACTCGAAAAACCACCATCATAAAAATGACACGTGTTTCTGATGATTAAAAAAGTAGATATGAATTCTGCGACATAAAACACACATGCAATGAGTGACTGAATGCAGTCACACTCTGACCTGTGATTGCTTTGACCACGTTCTCAGACACTTCAGGGATTTCTTCATCGAAGGACAAGCACAGCATCTCGATGTTGACCCAGTGTAACGCCCTGCAACACATAGCATTAAAACAGTAAGCATTAAGGGTTATTTGTATGCACATGATATACATTTTCCCAGGCCTTCTACTTCCCCTTTGGATGACATGCAGTCAGCAGCTTCCACTGTGACAGAACGTGTAACAAACGTGAGGAGAAGACTGCTAAAAATGGCTGATGAACAGACTCAAAGACGGTTTCTTCCCCTGGCACTGAACTCATAAGATAAGATAAGATAAGAGGTACTTTATTAATCCAAATTTGGGAACTTTTTTGCATTGCACATAATAACACATTAAAAGAGAAGAAATAAACAATTCAAAAATAGAAACATCTCAAAATAGAAATAAACCAGAATAAGAGAGTAAGACAAATATACATATGACCAGGAAATACAAAATCTATAAAATGAAGCTCAGCGTAAGTTCAACCAGGAAGATTGTCTTTACTCTTCATTTACTATTCCCATGTAACTACTCTCTCTCCTCTCAATAAGTGATCGGGGGCGTCACTCTCCAGCTTAACCAATCACTTCGCTCTATTCCCAAGAGCCTATCATAGCGCTCTGCCAAACCTTTTAAGTCTGCTCTCCCCTCTGACAGCTGTCATTTCAGGTGACTCGATGCAACCCTCCTCCCCCCCTTTTCACCTCCCGTCCCTCTGAATCCAGGGTCAAGCTAAGCCCCTCCCCTTCAGACCGACCCAACTATCCATTCACCACCACCAGTGTCTAGACCCCGGGGGGTTTCATCTGATTGGTTCTACCCTCCCGAATGATACTTCCTGCACAACGGGGCCTAATCGCCAAAACTCCATTATATTCATTTGTGTATCTCTGCAATAAATATGTATTCTTACATCAAAACCGTCTCTCCTGATTGAACTGTTTTAAATACACTAATACCGCTTAGTCTTCCTCCCCTGTGCAATAACCCATACATGTGCAATATATAATTTATCATACACACATACATACTTACTCTAATGAATGAATTCCTGCGCTTTATTCCTTTTGCTTTTATGTATGAATGCTTTGTTGTTCCATGTTGTCTATTCTGAATGTTTTGATGGCACCTTAAAAAGGAGTAGCTTTTCTCCAATTCATTGTACACTAGGGCTGTGCATCTTCACTGGTCTCACGATTCGATTCGATTATCCTGTCAACGATTCGATTCAATTCGATATCCCGATGCATCACGATTCATACCAATGCGTTGCATCCTCAATTTTCTATATTACTGCACATGGCTTATTTTTCATCAATGCATACATCAGTAAATACATATGAACTCTCTTTTTATTATTTAGAAAGTGCTTCAGAAATCAATAACATAAATGTCTTGACATTAATTTATAAACCAAAATAAATGAATTGTATAGGTCTAGCCTCCATATATCTGTGTGTGAAGTTGTTCCATCCTCAAAAACAAAAAAATAATGCTTCTGCAGTCTAGCTGCAGCTTCTAGCAACGGCCTTCTGTTAAAGAAAGGACACTGAATGTCCTGAATGTGGCATCACACACAGGACTTGAGTCTTGAACACAGCAGACAACAGGAGTATTTACAATAGCATATACAAACAAATACTGCATGTGGGTGCACACTTACATTCTCTGTCTTACTGTTACATAAATCCCATGAATGTATGAGATTAAATTAGCTTCATTATATCTCAGTGATTAAGTGAATAATAAAGTTTCTATCGGGTCACTATCAGCCTGTCACTCATTATTTTCAGGGAGGGGGCGGGGCTTGGAGGAACAGAGGAGACGGTGATCGTGGAAGCTTTTTTCCTCCTGCCTTCACAAACTTTACACACGTATATCGTCTGAAAATTGCTAGAGGACATTCATACTTTGCAATCCAAGACTTAATTAAATCCACCAAAAACCGGACATGATTGTAACGCGATTATTTTTGAAAAACATAAATCCCTGAGCCGCAGCGACACGGAGTGATTCAGAGCGGGTCCTTCTGCTGTTGGTTCTGGACTGGTGGTGTTGTGTTGGTGGATAAAGCAGACTGCTCCGTGTTTGGTGTTGTGCCGCTGTCACGTATGTTCCCTGATCTCTACGTTACCGACCGATTTGATATTAAAGTGACAGAAAAAAAAAAACGTTATAGTAAAGCCGCGGCCGGAAAATCAGAAAGCAACGTTACCACGCTATAACCGATTATCTTCCGTCACTGCATCGATACCGAATCGTCCACGTCCGCATCGCAATACATCGTAGAAACGATTATTTTCAACACCCCTATTATATTGCCTTCAGTGTCGCAGCCCCCACCCTCTGGAATTCTCTCCCCTCTGCTATCAGGAATGCCCACTTTCAAAAAACAACTCAAACACCATCTGTTCACTCAGGCCTTTGGCCTCAGCTAAAATGCAGTACCCAGCAACCTGTTCTTTTTCAAACCTGCAAACCTTGTTTCCCATTGTAAAGCGTCCTTGGGTCTCTTGAAAGGCGCTATAAAATATAAATTATTATGTGTAATGACAAGGAGTCCGTGTTTTATAAATATTTGGTAACACTTTATATTAAGGTACAGATATTCACCATCAACTAGTTGTTAATTAACATGCATATTAGCAGTACTGTATATTTGCCCTTTATTAGTCATTACTAAACACTTATTAATGCCTTATTCTACATGACCATATTCTACACTTAATAGGCCATTAGTTGAGAGTTTGTCCTCAATAACCCTCTAATTAGTGCTTATTTATTGCAAGTAAGGACGTTGTTGTACATGAGTTTGGGTCTTAATATGCTCAATATGGGCTTAATAAGGCAGTAGTACCACAAGACTAGTAATTCTCCCATAGTAACACCTCACAATTATGGTCCATTCTTATGTAACAAGACATGAAACTAAAAGTGTTACTTTTGTCAAAATAACAAAAAATGTGGTATTTCCAACTCAGAATATGTTCCCTATTTTAAAGTGAAGTCTTGTTCATAACAAATAAGCTAGTAGTTTGACTTTAATATGTTAATGAACAACTAGTTGATGGTGAATATGTGTACCTTAATCTAAAGTGTTACCCGTGTATGAGAGTTTTTCAGTCTGTGGCTATAAGTATGGTTTTATTGTCTCGTGTTTTAAAAAAACATTCGGTTTTGTCTAAATGTATTTATGCTGCTTTTTATATATTTATTGATGTACAGCACTTAGGTCAAATCTGTTGTTTTTAAATGTGCTATATAACTTGGATTGGATTGTATCATGAAGACATGAGTCCCACCTGATCCTGTTCTGTGTGGCCAGGTCCTTCTTCTCGTCATCACTGGTTTCTGGACAGAACACGCTCTTATACAGACGGGTCATTATGTATTTCTCCACCTGATCCATCACCTGCTCCACAGACTCTGAGGATCCTGGTGGACAAAGAGTCATCAGACCACATTAGTGAGAGCTGCATCGATAAAGAGGGGAACATTTACAAGTTTCATGATTATTATAAAGCCAATCTGTTAATACTCTTCATACCGTCTGCCTTGCAATGCATCTTGGCCACTTCACAGATAATTTCACTTCCATTGAAAACCTTTAAAAGGTCCCCAATTATACTGTTTTTCATCAATATATTCCAGGTCTCAGATATATACAAAACATGTCTCTGAAGTGTTTGGCTCCAAACACCAAACAGATCATTGCAGCATCCCATAATCCCCTCTGTTTCAGCCCTGTTTCCAAAGTGCTGATTCTCTGTGATTCTCTTACTTTAGATGAAAATAAGGAGCCACTCCCCACGCCCCTCTGAGAGAGATTTAGTGAAAAATAACACAATAGCCGCTTTCACACCAAGTACTTTGCAGCACTTAGTGCCCAGCATTTAGTGCCCAGCACTTAGTGCCCCCATGGAACTAAGTACAGATCGCGTTCACACCGGAATAAGTTCCCTGAGGGAAGATTACGTAAATGAAGCCGCTGACGTCACTTCTTCTTCTTCTGCTTTGGGTTTACTGGCAGGCCGCAAACAACTTCACGGTGTATACTGCCACCCGAAGTCCCCGGCCGGAAGTCCCCGGAGTTGGGTACTGGCTTCAGTCGAAGCTGCTGGGACTCCCAGCAGCTTCTACTGAAGCCTTCCGAGTAAATCGGCAGAACGCTGACACCTCCTCATCTCCACCGCTCCCATGTTTTTTTTGTGTTTCCATAAGTTAGTCTCTCTCCGTTGGTGCACGGGGCTAATAATGCTAATGCGAGCAAATACAATGGCGGCTTCACAAAACTTTTCAGAGTTTTACGGAGCGTGGTTTGCAATTCGCCCAGCCAATCAGAAATTGGTACTTTTATCTCCCCAGGAAAGTACCACCTATCTAGCAGGCACTAAAAATGGGGGTAACAGTTCTCTGAACTAAGTTCTCTTTTTGGTGTGAACGCAAAATTCCAGGCACTAACGGAACTACACGGGAAAAGTACGGGTAAAAGTACTCCGGTGTGAAAACGCCTAATGGTGCTCTAGGAGGAGATTCATGTGATAAGGTGTGTGGAGGGGGTTGCTGATTGGCTAATGGTTACACAAGCCAAAACATTGTTATGACATCATAAAGTGTCCAAAATCTGATCAGCTCATTTTCAGACAGGTTTTTATAGAAATGGATCAGGACAAAAAGAGAGAGAATCTTTTTCCCTCAAATTTTCAGAATCTCTTTCCACAGAGGGGACACATGTTGATGTAGAAGAGACATGAAGAAGAGGGGACACATGTTGATGTAGAAGAGACATGAAGAAGAGGGGACACATGTTGATGTAGAAGAGACATGAAGAAGAGGGGACACATGTTGATGTAGAAGAGACATGGAAAAGTGGATTTTGCATAATAGGTGACCTTTAAGACCCTTCATACATGTTCCAAATAATCTTATTATACCAGAACACTAGTGACAATCATCACAAAGTAAGCATACCATAACAAAGTGACCCTACAGGGAGCTTTGCAAAAATAATACACTTTTGTCTTTAACCTAAACAAGTCTTTGATTATATAATAACACATTTTAAACGTATTGACAGACTGCTTTATTTTTTAATCTTCATGTAATAATTTACTTGTGAAATCAAGTTAGAAACAAAACAATCCTGACATTCCGTGACTACAATATAGTCTGTTTTTACCAATGGATGTTATCAATTAACATGAATACAAATATTACTGGAAAATCTTTCTGGTGTTGCCATTTAGTGATTGCTACATACTCGGATTTATTAAAAAAAAGTATTGATGGAAACAATACTGAAATCTCTGAACAAACCTTTAAAGTGACCCAACAAACGGTCGGATAAGTTCTGGTAGAAGTCCTGAACGCACTCCGACAGCTCGTCAGCGCCCAGGTCCTGAGAGGAGAGGAGGTTAGGAGCTCATGGGAACACTTTACAATATTAATAAATAATTTCCTGAAACTTCCAGAATCTCTTTCCACAGAGGAGACACATGTTTATGTATAAAAGACATGAAAAAGTGGATTTTGCATAATGTCCCCTTTAAGAGTATTATTCTCAAAGTCAAACCTGGACTTTCTTGCTGGACATGGTGACGATGAAGGCTCGGCACTGTTTGTGGATTTCTCTGCCGGGTTTCTGGAGGTTCTTCAAGAAGTCCATAAAGTCTTTGGACACCTGGTCGGTATCAAAGCTCGCTCGGCGGCTAAGAGACGGACTGGGAGTCTTTCCCTCTTGGGTTTCTGGTGAGGAAGAAACGCTTTTAGAGAAAGTGCTGCTGATGTTGGAAAGAAACTGCACCCAAACCATATGTTTGTGACTTTTTTTTTGCTTGTATTGAGATTAAATATAATGTGGAGTTGCTCTTGAACAGGGGTGTCCAAACTACAGCCCTGGGGCCAAATGGGGCCCACGGACCATTTTGAATCGGCCCTCAGCAAATTCAAAAATGATAATTGAATATGGCCCACAAATGAAACTTGTGCTTGTCTTATATTGTACTTCTTAAATATAAATGTAAAAACATATTACACAGTAGTATTCATGTGTTAATAAGACAACTTTTCAAGTAAATTCAGTCAATTCAAGTTGGAAACATTTTCTAACATATAAGAAATAAGAAGAAAACGCCCAATGACTTATTTACGTAATAAGCTTGAAATACAACCTTCATATTTTTCCTTATTGTAATCAATCTGAGGCTTCTGTTCTAAGGGATGAGCTGCCAACACTCACAAGCATCATTTACCTACATTTGATTGATTTTGCTAACTTATAACTAAACTTATAATACATCCAGAACTCCGCCGCCCGTCTACTCACCCACACCCGAATCCGTGAACACATTACACCCGTCCTCATCAAGCTCCACCCACCCCCCACCCCCCTATCTCTTTTTGTATTTTGTTGTTTTGTTTTATTCCCTGTCAAAGCGTCTTTGAGTTTCTAGAAAAGCGCTATACAAGTCTCATGTATTATTATTATTATTATTATTAACTTATGAGGCAATAAACCTCTAGTGAGCGGCCCAGTCCTTCGTATATTTTTCTATATGTGGCCCTCGGTGAAAAACGTTTGGACACCCCTGCTCTAAATGGTTACATACCTTTCTTGGGAGCAGAGCGAGACGAAGGGCTGAAGAACTTCTTTACGGTGGTCACTTTTCGTGTTTTCTCGTTGGTCTTCTTCTCCTCAAACTTGGAGAAGGGTCCCAGAGAGGCGTGTCCCGGCTGGGGGTTTGAGGACTGAGGGGGGGGGCTGAGTCTGAGATCCATGACTGCTGGCGTACGCTGCCTCCTCCTCCCGCTGCAACCTGTGGCAGAAGACGTTTTAATAGAGCAAACGCCAGAGATAAAGAGGGGATAATCAAATACACGCTGAAGGTTCTTTGAGCATGTTTTCTCTCAGTGATTGTGCTCTTATGTTAAATGTTTGTTTTTCATGTATTGTGTCTTGATATTGATATTTGTCCTTGTGGATATTACACATGGAGCTGCTGTGATGCAAGTCAAATTTCAGACTTGATCTGAGCATTAAAGTATTATCGTATCGTAGGGATGCATATCGTTGACTTTTTTACGATACCGATACCACTGAACGATACCGATACTCAACCGATACATATCGTGATGTGAAAATGTATCATCCCGCAATTACTCCCATGAAGCGCTTTACGATATAGTTAACATGTCAAATGAATATTAAATTCATATTTTCGGATACCGGTATGCATCCCTATCGTATCGTATCGTATAATGGAGGGAAACTTTGGAGGAAAGCATCACAAGACTTAGGGAAGGGACGGTGTTGTTTTCAGTAAGGATGGTGAAAGAATTATTCAATCCTTTACCAAGAATCTGCACATATGTAAAAATATGAACCAGTAAAATGTACCTTAAGCATGAAAAATAAAAGTAGTCATTATGCAGAACATTTTCTATAAGATCATCATAGTGATAACACATATCTCTAAACATTTTTATGACCTAAACCTTTCATGAGTTTTTCAGAAACCAACAGCTTTGTGACTTCCTGCTGATCCAAGAGGCTTTTTAAGGGTTTTATTTATTATTATATTCAATTCTTTACCAAGAAGCTGCACATGTGTACAAATATATACCAGCACAATTGACTTAGGAAGTAGGGAACATTTCATCCTGTATTACCAACATTTAAAATCAACACATCTGGAGATTTATGGATTTCACAGGAAAAGGAAAGGGGATAAAAACAGTCATCTGAGAAATAAATAAAGCTGTCGGTTGAATAAAATAGAAATACTTAAGAGATATGTTCTTAGTGAAGTACTTTAGTAAATGTACTGTTCACTACTGGTACAAAAAAAAGTAATAATAAGGGATTTAAAAACGGGGGTTGAAATGAATAAGTTGGTGTTTATATGTTATATATTTTTCTGAATTATACATGTTATTTTACTATTCTTATATATAAATATTGCAAAATGTGAATAAGATTCTAATGTATATTTCTGTATTAGTTAGTGTAAGTGATGCCCAGTTGCTGATCGCTGTGCTAAAGCTAATCCAGAACCTGAGAAATAACTTCAAGTTGATGAACTGCAGTTTTTGTGTATCTATGCCTTGACTTCATAGTGTTTCTAATTTTAACTACTCCTCTCTTACTTCGCTGCCAGCGCCCAGTCGTCCTGGATCTGTTTATGGCGGACCTTCTGATATTCCTCTCTCCAGCACTTGGAGCACAGAGCCTGCCACGCCGCGTTGCCGTAGTAACCGCATCCATTTTTGCACAGCAGGTCCGATTGGTCGACGTGAATCCCGCCGCGACGCTCCGTCCGCTGACTCATGATGCCGGGAGACCTGCAACGGAAAAATTCTCATCTGATTTATCTGTGGACTTGTATGTGCTGCAGTATTCAACCCTACAGAGTGAATTTATACACTTTATATACAATATAATTTATATTGTATATAAAGTGTATTTATATTATATAAATACACTTTATATACAATATGTTTAATGCACTTATCAAAGTCAACTTTATTGTCAATCTCTCAGTTTGTGTGTACAGACAGAGAGATCGAAATACCGTTTCCAACAATCTCGAATACAAAAATACAAATATGTATACAAATATGTATAATACAAATATGTATATCCTATGTATACACAATCAACAGACACATTTATACATATGCACACATTAAGACCTAAATAAATGCACAACAACAAAATAACAGTCACTCCAATATCTCACACGTTTGAAAACTAGACACACAACTCCAAGTGAATATGTGTGCTAGGAAACAATGTGGTTAGTCATAGCAACTTACATTTTTGAAGGTATTTAAAAAGGGGCACTCCTCAAATGCATGATGATTTAAGTATGCAAGTCAAAACTGCTTCTTGTGGCTGTTACTATTATACATTACCTATTCGATTGTTATTACTCATGCATTAATGAAAAAGTAGGATTTTACTTTGCTGATGTGAAGCTCATTTTGAAAACATATCTTATGATTATTTTTATACTGGATTCATCTGCCGATTGTCTTAATTTGTTTCAGCTGTAACGTTGCTGTTATATGCTGCTGTGTAGTCAATTGTATTTGCTTTTAATATGTTTTTAAAGCTACCAAAGCTGGGGTAAAGTAAAGTAGTGTAAATGGAAATACTCAAACACAAGTAGCTTGAGAACTTGAGTACGTAAGAGTCATCAAATGCAAATGAGGAAATTACCACATATTCATTGCTTAGTTGTTACAGCAGTAATGCTACACAAGGCTTTGTTCTAGCTTTATTTGTGTTTGTGTCCTACCATTTTTCGCCAGTCTTCAGGTCAGTTAGCTAAAAAATGCTGCAGGATTTACCGTAGCTAATGACGTGGAGAGACGTAAGTTAAGAGATATATTTTGTTTCACTAATGACTCAATTCTGATCATTTCATGCACATATGTCGCTGTTTAACTAACCTGTTATTATGTTTGCATCGATCCGGAGCACGAGCAGATCCTCCTTTCTGTTTTGAGAGCTGGCGAAAGCTACAAGGTGCGGACAATGACGTTATCTCAACCCTGGCTTTTACAGATTTACACTCAATCTAGGAACATTAATTGAATATAAGATGATAAAACAGCAGCAGAGTTTGTGCTTGAACAAACTGTTTTAAACGTAGAGTATTGCTTTTGTTTTGTTTAATGTGTGGGTGATGGTGATGTCACAGGTCTATTTACTTCCGCATTGTGGGACTAGTTTTCAAGGATTGGACAAGTGGCTTCACGCATGCGCAGAGTTCATCATCATTCATCACGATGATTGAGTTAAATCGTGATAGAATCATCTTCAAAGGTGGAAGAAGAAGTAGCCTACTCAGATCTTGTACTTCAGTACAAATAGAAGTACCAGACTAGAGTAGGAATACTCTGTTACAAGTCAAAGTCCTGCATTCAACATGTTACTCAACCAGAAGTACAAAATGGTGGCATTAAAATATACGTAAAGTAGCGACAGTAAAAGTAGTCATTGTGCAGATTGGTCCATTTCAGAATAATATAGGGTAGCTTGTGAATTTACTCCAAATGTAACTAAAGTTTGATTTAAGGGTTGATTATATTTCACATCATTAATCGAAATCTGTAAAGTAACTAAAGGTATTAAATCAATGTAGTGGAGTAAAAGTACAAGATTTAACTCTGATTTAGTTGTATTGGTAGTGTGGAGTAGAGAAACAAAGTAGCATCAAATGGAAATACTCAAGTAAACTACAAGTATCTAAAAACTATACTTAAGTTCAGTATTTGAGTAAATCTACTTAGTTACACATGTTATCTACTTTGTTCATTTATATAAGAACTGAAGTTAACACAGATAGTTGAGTCTGCACATTTACATATTCTCACACGATACAGTCAGTTTATGGACATTCAGAGGAACACATTTCTGGGTCTCAGTGAACAAACTCAATAGTCTGCTGACTTTGTGCTTATTGACATGTGGGTTAATGTTCAAAGGTCCTAGTCTGATAACAAAAAGTGCCGTGCAATCACTTGTATGTACCAGTAACACAACTGAAACATTTGGTCATGATAAAAGCGTGTTGTGGCAGAGATATTTTATTCTAACAGTTTTCTTTACTCTGTCACAATTCTGAGATTCTTCACATTCTCTATGCATTTTGATTCTTCATGGGACAGACTGTGTTTAATGCTGCTTAACCACGCTTTAAAATCCTGCTCTTTCGACCTTTAGCAGGAGAGATGGAACATATATCAAAGTGTGTTAATGCTTAATTCAAGGTAATTGTACTTGAGCCTTTCTATTGTATGCAACTTTATACTTACACTATACATCAGAGGGAAATCAATTACTTTTGTATTGTTATTTTAAGTTTATTAAAGCTGTCTGTTTGTATAAACCATTTAAATAGACGTCTCATTTGCGAGAGATTTCGTGCTGATAACGCCTTTTCTGACTGGGGAGAATAATCACACAGAGACAAGGCAAGTTTATTTATATAGCACCTTTCAACACAAGGCAATTCAAAGTGCTTTACAAAAATGAAAGGCATTAATAAAATGGCATTTAAAAACAGTCATTAAAAAGCAAAGATAATAAAATAAACATTAAAATAAAAGTGCAGTTTAAGATATGAATAGTTCAATTAAAAGCAGCGACAAAAAGAAAAGTATTCAGGCTGGATTTAAAAGTAGTCAGAGTTGCAGCGGACCGGCAGATTTCTGGGAGTTTGTTCCAGATATTTGGAGCATAATAACTGAGCGGTGAACTGAACAAAGGGTCAGAAACACAGATAACACGCAGACACACACACACCACACACACACACACACACACACACACACACACACACACACACACACACACACACACACACACACACACACACACACACACACACACACACACACACACACACACACACACATATAGGGTTGGAAACACATATAGCAAACAGACACTGGTCTTTCACTCACTCACTCACACACGCACCACACACACACACACACACACAACACACAACACACAACACACACACACACACACACACAACACACACACACACACACACACACACACACACACACACACACACACACACACACACACACACACACACACACACACACACACACACACACACACACACAAGATGATAGCCATGATCCTGACTGGTGGTTCTTTATGTCTTCCCTCTGCAGCCACTGTCCAGGAGCTGTTCTCCGTGGCTCGGGACGCCAGCATCGTCCCAGACGTCTCCTTGGATCCTGTCCTCACCTCCTTCCTGTCTCTGGATTCCTCCGCAGCCCTTCAGCATCAGTACGCCTCCTTACAGCGAGGCTTTAGTGGCGAGCAGCAGGCGGCGTTCGGCCTCCGTCTGAGCGGAGAGTTAGGAGGCAGCAGAGTCTCCTATGGAGGGGTCGGGGTCGTTGCTCTGGCTCTGTCCCTGCTTTTTGACCAGGTCGCCCAACAGGTGGGTTAGGTTTATTGTTTGTTAGTGTTGGGAAAATACTGAATGTACTCTTCCAATATGAGAGTAACATGATAACAAAGTTATCACAACTGTAGATTTGTACATGACAGGATGTATGATTACCTAGAAGAGCATCAGGACTGTTTTAGGCATATGATAGCTATGTGATTAACATGATGATTCAGCCTCTATGGAGATAGACATATGACAAGCATGATCATTTCTGACGTGGAGCTAATCTGAAGTAAACATTGAATACTGCTTTCTATTCCTCCATCTTGTGACTGTGTAACTCCCTCTCTTGGATATCAGCATGTGAAGGACACTGTTCAGGAACTAGTTGATGCTCTGTATGTGATGACTACTTCCATTCTTGAGAGGATCATAAATGGATCCTGAGATTGAAGCTCAAGCCGGTGACGAGTGATATTTTTCTTAACAGTTAGGCATTATTTAATGATGTCCTCTGTAGAGCTCAAAAGGTTCAAAACATCCTCTAACATGTGGTTAAAATGTTGTTTTTAGTGAAATATCTTCACAGTTTTTGATTTGTTTGGCATGAGATTTGACTTGGCTTTTCTGTTTACTGGTTAAATAAAGGAAACACATTTTAAACTAAGGTACACAGACTCAATAGTTTGGCCTCCGTTTGACCGGAGAGTTAGGAAGCAGCAGGGTTTGACCAGGTTGCCCAACAAGTGTTTTTTTTTTGGTTTATTGTTTGTTAGGCATTATTTAATAATGTCCTCTGTGTGATGGGAACTTCTGAAGCAATCAAATCAAATCAAGTTTTATTTATATAGCACATTTAAAAGCGATTTTTGGTCGAGTCAAAGTGCTGTACATGTAATAAAAACACTTAACTACAATCACAATAAAAGACAATAAATAAATGTTTATAAACAGAAATATAAAAAACAAAAACACAGCGAATAGTCAGGTGTCATGCTCTGCTCTGGCTAGAAGGCCAGAGAGAAGAAGTATGTCTTTAGTGATGATTTAAAAAACCCTAGTGTGTGGGCCGACCTCATGTGGAGGGGCAGACTGTTCCAGAGCCTGGGGCCAGCTGCTGCGAAGGCTCGGTGCCCTCGGGTTGTTTTGAGCCTGGTCTTGGGCACTATCAACAACCGCTGGTCAGCAGACCTTAAAGCTCTGGCTGGGGTGTAGCGATGGAGGAGTTCGGCTATATAGGCCGGAGCCAGCCCATTTAGGGCTTTAAAAACAAATAAAAGGATTTTAAAATAAATTCTGAACCGAATTGGAAGCCAGTGCAGTGAGGCCAGAATTGGGGTGATGCGGTCACGCTTTTTGTGGCCAGTCAGAAGACGTGCAGCTGCGTTCTGAACTAGCTGCAGGCG